TTTTAAGATGTCAATTAAACAAATATATTTAATTTGAGCTGAAAATCAATTATATACTACTTTTTCAATATTAATATACTGTAGTAGATAATTGAGATTACCATATTACAAAACATATTAAAAAAAGCTTAAAATAAACACAAATGAGTTTAAATACACAAAATAAACGTAATATTTGTAAAAATAACCTTAAAAATGCAATAAAATGCATTTAACCCAAAAAATGCAAAATAATGCAAAATAAAAATTACATATTCTAAATTGCTATAATATATAATAAAATAAATTTAGTTTTTGGTTAGAGCTGTATAGCACTTATAGAAAAAAATGCAAACGCCGCATCAAAATCCTAGCTTTAGTTATCACTATAATATGTATAGTGTATACCTATAATCTGGGTTAGATAACCAATCAGGAGTATTAAAATATCAGAAATTTACCCCATGATCTGATTTTGGAAATTAAAATCTGTTTAACTTAGTTGTGATTAAACTATAAAAAAAATACATATTATTTATTTACAAAAGTGCTCTAAGTTATGATATAACTATAAACGCCTATTGTATCAGTTGATTTGATTTTCAGAATAATTGTTTTTTACAAAAAAGATGCATTATACTTACTATTATCTATAGGTATACGTATACATATATAAATACTTAATTATTATATGAGATGTTGCTACAATTTTATATTATATATATACACATTATACAATAATCAAAAAATATTTCGAATAAAATTACAATATTTTATGATAAAACAATTAATTTTTTTTAAATATAATAGATATTATTAATTAAGTAAACATTTTAAACGGCTGCACACGATTCCGGAATATGGCAACAAATCTATCAAAGTGTAAAATGTAATGCAAATTTGCGGAATCGTATTTCACCGGTTTTAATAACTTAAATTATCTTTTATGTTAGAAAAATCTGTAATTATCGTTTTTAGGCTATAAAATATCTATTATAATTTCGAATCAGGTATAACAATTTTTATAATGATATTGAAAGATCATCGTTTATGTATCAAACGTACAAAACCGTTGCAAGTGTTAATTTTGAAAGATTCGTTGAAAAAAATCATTTTTATTTATGTTAATCAATCTATAATAGGTTTATATAATATACATTATATAAATTATATATATCAATATATTTTAGAACGAAGTGGTATGATCGAGTTAATGACTATCATTAATCTAAATAAATTTTATAAATCTACACGACAGTGTACCTAACTTGGAAGAATTTGTTTCTATATTGGTAATTGTTAACAAACGGTAATAATAACGGTTATTAAATGTCTTCTAATTCATAGTTTTCATGTTTTTGGAAAGGTAGGGATAGAGCTAGGGACCCTGGTTATTCTAAACTGCGGTAGATAGAACGGCAGTTGTTCATACTTACTATACCTGATCTGTCATAAGTTTTAGCTAGAATTGATTTTTTTATAAATAATTAGTATATATAGTTAATTATTTATGATGAAAAAAATATTATAGAATTGTAAAATATTATTCATAATTGTGAATTTAATTTATATAATGAATTAATTAGTTTAATTATTATTTTAGTTAACTATAATAGTTTAGATAATTTATTGATTATTGCTAATGTTCTTTAAGTAACATTATAGTTAATATAATAATAATATTATAATATATTAATATACTATTATTAAAATCATTAAAATAAATTATTCCAATTTCACTGAGTTAAAAACTTTTGACGAAATTATTAAATATTATAAAGCAAAAATATTGTACAACATTCATTTCGTTTACAAATAATATTCATCTATCAAAATAGCTTAAATGATTTTTTTTTTTTTTAGTGTTCTGGTGGATAGATATTAACAATGAATATGTTTCTTATAATAGCAATATAGCCTCATAGATACATATTAAATTATTAAATTATTTTTTGAGTGAAACCGAATAAAGTTCGAATAAGTGGTCACATAGACAAATACAATGATACTAAGAGCCAAAATGTTTATGGATACATTTTATATAATTTGATAATTTTTTATAATCTAATATCTAATCCAATATTTTGATTATATATATAAGATGCAAGCCGCATCTGACAATGAAAAGAGCCACATGTGGCTCGCGAGCCGCAAGTTGGCCACCTATGCTATAAACTATTCATAAATCATAACTCATGATAAAATTTGTGTATACACACAGAATGGATTTTCCGGGTATAACATATTTGGGCGGTGTATGAAAATTTACCTACCTGAAAATTGATGAAATTTTTGGGTAAAAAACTGTAACTGCTAATCTGAAATTTAGTGTAATCCATTCCAATAATTATTTAATCATCTGATCTGTAGTCCATATATTAATTATTGGAAATTATTGCATTAAATATTATTGCTATAAATATTTAGCTGCTAGACACTAGTGCAGATTATATAATTGGTGTTCGCCGTTCGATAGTTTACGTTTGTTGTGGATTGAGCACTTTGTATGTGAAAAATAATTTTACCATGTTATCGATGTATTGATGGAAGCTTAAGTAAAAACCAATTCTAAAATAAATATCATTGAAAGAAAAATAATAATTTAATTATGAAAAAGAACTGAAGAAAAATTAAAATTTGAACAAAAATATTGAGAGACTTATCCAAAAAAAAAAAAAATAAATAAAAAAAAAAAATATTAAATTACATATAAAAATAAGGACTACGTTTTGCAGCAAAAAATTAATTAATCACATAAGAATAAAATTAGGATGGTTTTTTTTTTGAATATTTTTAGAAGACTATGAGCCACCTACTTGTGGTGCCTTTCAAGAAACTCTAATAGGCTCGGAATTAGTAAAATTTGCAAATATATGGAAAGAAATACGACATGCTATCAAAAAAGGAAATATTACGCCCAAACATTATATGGATTTACGGCCAAAAGGGTTTTGTTTTGGGTAAATTCGCCCCGAATATATTGCCATCTATTTTTCTATACCATAAGTAGTATGTGCAATAAATACACGCATTTTGAAAATAAAACTTTTATTTATATATTTATAAAAATTGCTATACATCAATTTTACCCACTTAAAAATACTTCCGTCCGTAGAAATACACTTATTCTATCGTCATTTCTATTGATCAAATTACCAAGTCCTGAAAAGTTAAACCTCCTCAGCTGTTTCGTAGTTTCAAGTTTTATGGTTTCTACTTTCTACATCGCCTCAGTGCTGTCCTCTCGTGACCATTTTACATTTTGAAAAAAAAAAAAATAAAAAATAAATCACAGGAGGCTATAAACCTGGAGAATATGGAAAGTGGTTGAGTGTTGTGATCGATTACTTCAGTCAATGCAGCACTATTTTCATCTTTAATTTTGGTCTGGTATCAGATTTTTTGAGAACATTTTCGTACACAATTTTTTCAGTCCTAAGTTTTCTGTCAAAATCGGCTGTACAGACGATTTTCTAATGCTCAGCATGTCAGCCATCACCGTACAGTCATCCTTCGATCAAAAAGTCCAAGACACCGCACACGTTCGATGTTTTGGTCATTACAAGTGGTTGAAAAACGCTTGGGTCTCACGTCGTTATTGAAGCCTTCGCGGCGTTTATGTAGAAACGATTAATCTACCCAAAAGAGCAGTTTTCTTCAAAGTATTATATTCATAAATAGTATTTAACATTTCATGAATTGTTAGCAAAGTTTTTCTAAGTTTCACCAACAATTTGACGATCACTTTTTGTTTAGTTAATCCGTCTATCTCCAATTTGATTAAAGATAAAGAAATAAAACACACAACTTGAACTTACGCTTTTTGTATTAAAGTATCAATGATCGACTATGATCGTATTGTAGCGTGTGCCCAGAATAGTACGATGTCGTACTTTACTCCACATATCACTGTATAGATAATTGATTTGCGTGTTTATCGGGCATACCTACTGCGTACTTAATTTTATTTTAATAATTTAAGTATTTAACTAAAAACAATTTGTCTGTGTAATACGTACTATCTCATGAATCGGAAGTTCTAGTCATAACGTTTATTGAATCATTTCTACCCAAATGTCAATAAAATATTGCAAAATATAATTGCACTGCATTACGATCTACTAGTAGCTAAATGTGTATGAATTATACAGTGTGTATAATGATTACAACTGTGTAATGATGTGTTGTACTGTAATTTTTATTTTGTTAGTTTATTTAAATTTGTATTTATAAAAATCTAATTAATAATAATGTTAATATTATATTCTATGATATGGACTTTTTCTCCAACTATTTCCATAACAAACTTTTTGTTAGTGTTCGAAATATCCACTTTTTACTACTGTTTATTTTACACATATTTCATTAGCTTTTATTTAAACGTTATATGAGGCGCGAAGGAAGTATGTGAATAAAATTATAATAATTTATTATACTATTATTATTTCTTAAGCGTTATTTTAATAGATCTTATAATAATTACATAGAAAATCACAATCACAGTTTAAATATTAGAGTTGTCTTAATTAAATGATCCGATTGCGATTATGAAGTGTTGAACGGTTTTTTCCACGAATCAATTACGATTTTTGTTTGACATTAAATGTATGAGTATTAATATAATTATCATATTTGTTTAATCGGTTTCGTCATTCCACGATGATTTATTTTCTTATCATCACATTTTAATTCTCAGTCGAATTATATTTAAACACTAAACACATTAAACACTACGACTGTTACTATTAATAATAATACTAATTCATACACGAAATATTATATTGTGCAATGTATGAGTGCGTATACGGAGACTTGTTGTAGTGGATCTACGACAACATTGCATGTTATCTGTCTACACGTTACATAAATTATTTTCCGCCGATCGCGTGATGCGATTTATCTGCGAGGCAAATAATCGATAAAAAATATCGAATGATTGTCGCAGCGTAGTGGCGACGCCTGCAGTGTACCTAGTGGTAGTGATAGTAGTGGGACAACAGCACCTACATGAAAAAAATAACCGATTTATTTATCCTCCTTCTCCGGAGAAACGAGTATGATATAATTACACACACACACACACACACACCACATACACACACAACGGTCAGTCATATTTTTCAACCGGTTAGGTTAGTTCGATCGGACCGCTCATTCAGTCGGTGTCACTACGGCCACGCGCTCGTCGACGTTGTATTTCGTGAGATCTGTTCTTATTTCTTTTGTATGAATAATATTGCAGGTAATACCTGAACTTAAACCATTAATACTACTCATTAGAAGTGCACCTATAAGGATCTATACAATCATAATTATCTACTTAATTATAATTTATAGGACATAAAATGGCGCAGTCTTCGTTGAAACAAGTGATCAACTTCGGAGCCGGACCGGCCAAGATCCCCAAACAGGTAGACTATCATTATATACTCGATGCAGGGAACTCATGTATAAGGGGCGATTCTCTTATCACAAAATAGTAATTTTCTCTACGATTTGACGAGTTTTTAAAAACGAATTTATTTATTCATAATTTGAGTTTGAAGTTATTAGAATACAGCATTTACAAAAAAAAAAAAAAATAATAATAATAAATATTTTATTACTTTTTATCAATATAATTTTTATTTTATTTTTTCATCGGTTTACTAGGTATCCCTATGCAATATCACTCATTGAACAAGTAAAACAAGTAAATGCTTGTAATATCTATTATTATAATTTTAATAAATTCTTTTTTTTAATGATAAATAAAATAGTATTTCAAAAAAATGTAGTGTTGTGATGACTTCAAAATATTTTTTTTCCAAAAATACTTAAGATTACTGAAAAAATGACTGCTTTGTTAAGCTGTTCAATAAATAAGTTAACAAGTTAAGTTACGTTTAACTAAGTTATATAATGAGTTACTTTTTTAAATTTGACTTCTAACTTCATTGTTTTCCATGATATACACTATACAGACATGTAAAGTAACTAACTAGTTAATTTTATAATTACGTTAAGACATTGAGTAATTTTTTTCTCAGGATAAATTATGACACGTCTTAGGTTTAAAATATATATTTTGTTTATAGTTCAAAATAATCGATTTTATAGAAAAAAAAACGGGAACATAATATATAATTTTATATGTTATCTCCATTTCATTAAACAATTGTTTTCATTACAAAAAAAAATAAATACGAATGGATAAAAAAAAAGAATTAGACCCTCAATAAGTTGGTCAATGAATTTTATAATTTTTCGCAATATTTCGCTAATATACAAATTGTTTTTATTGATAAAAAAGAAAAAATTAATTGTCCTCAAAAATTGCAAAATAATCTGTAAACTCACGCAAAATATCAGCAAAAGTACGTTTATGAGGATACAGTATTTATTGTAAATACTAAATTTTAAACTGTGAAAGTGCTGAATACAACATTCATCAATTTTAATATAGATCAAAATGACAAAATAAATAAATAAATAAATACAATGTTATGTAAATTTTCATAGAAAATTACATATTATCAAAACTCATTAATTTAAAATTTCTCAACATTAACATTACCAGACAACTCAATTTATTATTTAAAGGAATGTCAAAAAGATTACGGATGTCTTAAAAATTTAACTAATTAATTAATAACTTCTGTTAGGAGTGTTATATCTTTTTATGGTCAGCCTTTCTGTTATTATTTTTTCAAAAAAATATACCTAATAAATTTTTAATTAAGTTAAGTAACTTTTTTTTTATTCAACTTGTAATTTTTACTAGTTAATAAAAAGAAAATTTATTTCTGACTTGAAAAATTAGTTAACTTGCCAGTCTTTTTATTTTGTAATTAAACAACCTTTATATAATTTATTATTTTATGTGAGCTACGTATCTCATACGTCGGTAAGGAAATGGTGGTACTACAAATGTATTTTTATTTTCGTATTTAGGTTCTGGAACAGGTCAAAGACGAACTTTTGGATTGTGGTTGCGGAATCAGTGTTATGGAACTTAGTCACCGGTCATCCGAGTACACAACCATCAACAACCGAGCTATTCAGTTATACAGAGAATTACTGTAAATATAAATACGTTGTATTAATTATTCTTATTATACATATTTCTATATCAAAGCATATGTGTGCTGGTTTAGAACAGCGGGAACAATATTATTAGTTTTTGTTTATTAGAATATTTTAATAATGTAAATAAGCCTTGTTTCACAGCCGCGTGTAGTTGTGAAACCAGTGCAATAATTACTTATTTCGATTACATTACGTGTATCAATTAAGTGCTTAAGTAGACATAGGTTATCTTCTCAAAAAAATAAATGCATGGATAATAACTAATAACTATATATATAACAGGGACGGTCAAACTTTTTTCGACCGCGATTTACTAAAAATATACTTCACCTTTGAGGATCGACTTCGATAAAAAATTTTTTATTATTATTAAGTTACTATACCACCATAATTAATTTTGTGTGCGCAGCCTAAAAATAAATTCTAGCACGATCGACTTTAAAATTGTTTGCGATCGACCGGTCGATCGCGATTGACCGTTTGGCCGCCCCTGATATATAATAACTGTATATTTTAACATTTTTGGGCTTAAACAACATATTTTTGATTATAAGACCATATTTTAAGTTTTTAGTGAATTTAATGATAGTTTATCGAACATCAAGCATTTCGGTAAATGTTTTTCATGAATCTAAAATTTATATTAAGCTGTGAATTTATCATAAAGAGGGTACTAATTTTTATTCTTGGTCAGTGGGTAGGTTAGATTAAAGTATTGGCTGTAATATTGTCATTTTTTATACATAAGTACATGTAAAATTGAATGAAGTAAAATAATTAAGATAAATGAAATAGTTAAAGAAAAATATTTTTATTTTTTTCATATAATATAGGCAAGTAATTTTTTATGCATATTTGACTGTGTATTTTTAATTGTTGATGAATAAGTGTATATTTTTAATGAATATTTTGATGATTTTTGAGATTAAAATAAAAATACATTTTATAAAACTTAATTTAAAAATGTTGTGACAGTGATTATTTTTCATTAATGTTTTGTAAATTATTATAATATAACTAATAACTACTTACGTTCATGAATGTTTCGTTTTGTGCATATTCTCAAACAGTAATATATATTCATTTTAAATATTACCAAAATTATATCTTAATTTATTATTAATTATTTTTATTTTATATTAAATTATTATTACCTAAGAATCTTTAAATTTTCAATTTAATATGGTTTTTTTACATATATAAAATTTATATTACAGTAATATCCCAGAAAACTATAAAGTATTGTTGATGCAAGGAGGAGGAACCGGTGCTTTTGCTTCAGTAGCGTTGAACTTATTACACAGGGGCACAAAAGCCGACTACATTTTGACAGGTAATTGATTTAATTTTAATTTTATGAATATATACTTTATAATCTGTGATATTTTATTCAACAGGCGTTTGGTCTACTAAAGCTGCTAAAGAAGCATCTAAATACTTAAATGTAAGACACGTGTTTCCAAAACCGGAAAAATTTAATGGGATTCCCGATCAATCTACATGGAATCTAGATCCAGAAGCTGCATATGTGTATTATTGTGATAATGAAACGGTGAACGGTAAATATTTATTATTTACTACTCGTATATATTTTATTATTTTATTTTAGATTTTGAGTGGGGTGATGAATGTGTTGATTTTACAATGATGTATGTGTTTTTTTATCTGTTTATACTAAAATAGTTAATACTTTGATTTTCAGTTTATTTTTGGGGATCTTCTGATAAAAAATAGATCTATTTAGTCCTTTAACAGGTCTAAACTATAAACTAAAAATTCATAGTACTTAATAACCTAACTATGTAAAAAAAAAAAAATAATAATAATAATACTATTTATAAGAAAAACAGGAAGTTTTACGCAAAATTAGTCTTTGACAAAATCAATTTAGTTTTTTTTGTAGGTGTAATTCAAAAACAAATAAATTTAGATAACTGAAATTTTCACTAAACTGATAAACTAGGATTTCGATTTGTAAAATATTTTCCTAAATATTTTAATTTTTTTTTTTTACTAGGTAACAAAGTTTGAAGATTTAATACTAAGTTCTTTATGAGTTGTTATTGAAGCTATTTAAAAATGTAACTGTTACGTACTTTTCTCTTTTTTTGATTATTGTAGATATGTTATGGTAAATTAATAATTAGTAATTATCATTTCAATTATTTTTAAATTATTTATTTCAATTAAACGTTATTAATATTAGCGCAAAATTGAAATAAATGTGTAATTAGTTCAATAAAATATGTACGGATATGTGTAATAATATCTAACATAAATAATTTTTTTTTAAACTTCCAAAGGAGTTGAATTTCCTTTTATTCCGGAGACAAATGGCGTTCCATTGGTGTGTGACATGTCATCCAATATTATGACGAAGGTTTTTGACGTGACTAAGGTAAATTACTTCAATATAATATTTAATCGAATACGACAGTCTTATTTTTTCAATGATGATGTATCACCTTTTCGGTTTAAGACATGTAATCCTATTAATTTTGTTATTTCACTTAAAGTTTGGCGTGGTGATAGCTTGTGCGCAGAAGAATCTCGGTCCCGCGGGTATAACTGCAATTATTATACGCGAGGATCTTCTCGGAAAACCAAGCCCGCTTTGCCCACAAGTCTTCGACTACACACTGTTCACTCAAGAGAATTCTTTACTTAATACACCTCCAACTTTAATGTGAGTTTATTTTAAATATGTTTATATGAAAATAACTTTTAAAGTTTTATAATTTAAATAGAGTTTATATATTTTCACTTGTATTACAATGGGTGAAAAATCAAGGAGGTCTTGTTGCTATGGAAGCTAACTCAAAAGCAAAAAGCGAACTTTTATACAAAACCATAGAGAATTCTCGAGGTTTTTATTCATGTCCGGTGGCTAAGAACTCTAGAAGCCGCATTACTGTGCCGTTCTGTCTAAGTGCGGGAGCTGAGGCTGACAAGCAATTTCTTAAAGAAGCACAAGATTTAGGATTTTTACAGCTTAAAGGACACAGGTATTTAAAAATTATTGTATTTGTATTTCATATTAGTTTATACATGGTTTAAAACTACACTTTAATTATTTGTTTGTTTGCAGATTGGTGGGAGGAATTCGAGCGGCCATGTATAATGCTATGACTTTAGATGAAGTGGCAGTTCTAGTTGAATTCATGACTAAGTTTCAAGAACGAAATCCACAATATTCCGTTTAAAAATAATTAAAATATTCAATATTTAATATATATTCTTTGTTTTTGTTTTGTTCGTTTTGTCGACATCACGAAGAAAATGAGAAATTACAGTTCCTTTAAAGTTTAAACAGAAAATATGAAAATAATATTTTGAAAATCTGATCTTTAAAAGTTAGTGTATATTCAAGTAATTGTATACCACAGGATTGAGTTTTTGTACTTCCACAGTACAAAAAAAAATTGAGACGTAAAATATAATATATATACATATTACATATATTGTATTCCTATTTGATTTGCTTTTCAGTGACAAACAAACAAATATACAGTTTTATAAGCGAGAAAGATAAACAATGAATAAGTGGGAGCGAGAAAAAGAGAGCTTTTAGCGAAATAGGATATTTTATTATTACCGAGGAGGTTGAAAGGATAAATCAATGTCATGGACGGGTAGCGCCCAAATAACGGAATAAATTAGCATTTAGTTTCTCAAAAACACAATTTTCAACAGGAGGCAAAAGTGGGACTAAAATAATGAATTTATAGACTTACTTAAAACCTTGAAACTTGAGGACACATGTATAAACATAAATAATCATATTGTTTATTAGTATTTAAGTTTCACTCTTACAATTTATAAGAGCTTATAATTATTATATATAATAGTGAATTTCTAGTTTTATTTTTCATTGAATTTTGGTTTTTCTTTTTTTCTAAAGCGTAGGATTGGGTTGTTTTTACAAAAAAGTATTAAGTGATCGCACTTAAAATGTAATATATAGAAGTTATTATCAATCCAAATTAATCATTAAATTAAATAATATTAACATTTTTAATGAAATAACCTATGTATTAAATTTGAAGTTAATTTCAATCGCTTTAATTAAACATTCCATTAAAACTCTATACATCATAATTTTAAAACAAATTTCCAAAATTAACTTATCTGAGTATTTACTCTAAAACATTTCAGTAACTTGTAAAATTGATATGTCAAAAACAATTTTTGATTTCTTATTTAGTTTTAACTTTTAAATTATTATATAATAGAGGTTAAATCCTCGAATACTTAAAATCAACTAATTTATATAACCTGATTTAATATTGTACTAAGATGAAAATTATGTAATCCTTTTCTTTGAAAGTCAATAATTTTCGTTGTTGTGGCTACAATAATAATAAAAAAAATAATAGAGGTCAGATGAACCAAATTTAGGTATTTGACTTTGAGATATAGTTTAGTATTAAGATTTAAAAATTATAGCTGCATGGGTCGTTTAGATTTATAAATTAAAAATTTTTGATAGAATATATTTTTTTGCATTATTATAATTCGGATAAAATTATTCGATGATATATACCTAATCATAAAATATTATATTTATAAATCACTATAAGGAAAATAAAAACGCGTTACTTATATTTTTATAACACCTACATAAATGGTTACACAAGTGCAACAAGTATGATTTAAATACATTTTTAAGTACATTTAATTTTAATATTGTTGATCCACATTTCTATAGTTTAAGTATTTAAGTCTTAAAATCATTTTCTTACTTCTTAGTTAAATTAAATTAAAGTAATATAGATACTACCAACAAAAATTTAAAACAAATTTTTAATAATAATTATTAACTTATTGTTATTCTTATATATATATATTAATATTTAAGTTTTATACTTCACTAATATATATTTTCTTTTTCTTTCACTTCTATACTAAAGAATTAAATTCCAAATAATGTATTGAAAATACATTTTTATTTTTTCGACTGTTTCAACATCATCAAAAAATGTACCCATTATATTACATCAAAATAAAAAAAAATGTCATCGAAGAAATTTAAATTGAATAGTCTATGGATAGATGAATTATCTACAAAGTACACAATAGTACCATGAAATTATTTATTTAAACATTCTTTCAAAAACGAGAAGGGACTGTGGTCTCTGTTTTTTTTTATTTGGACCCCAATAAAGTATATAATAAAGTAGAACCTTGCTTTTTGTAAAAATATTCTGTATTCTGTTATATTTTATGACCATCGAGATTTGTAGGTATGAATAACGTATACATATTAATATTATATTATACGAATAGATTGTTATTGTCGGTCAATATGTACGTATTTTTTTTTTTCATTATGAGTGAATACATAGTAATAATTTATTATGTATTTTTATACATATTATAAATACTTAATTTTTTAATAATAGAACCATCGTACTATACAGGTATGTTAAAAATATTAAATCATGTGGATACAATTTGTATTCCTTCAGCTATATTCATTCTTGCTTATATTATTACATTTACATTATATATAAATTATAAAGTACGTATTAGTACGTATAATACCATATAATGTTTTATATTATTTAAGTGTGTTAAAGTACAATAAAACTGTATACTTATACTAAACTAAAAAATCATGCTGAAATCATTTTATAATCAAAAACTAAAAATCGATGTAAAATTGTACACTTGGGCATTGTATGACATTCCTTCTATGATATTATAGTGATTTAAATAATATTCTATTTTAAATAAACTATAAACCTTCACATTTGTAAAGACGTAATGACCATATAGAATTAAAAATTATATAGGTGTTTTGAAAAATCAATAGATTTTTGAGCTATATGAGATATGTATATTATTTTATAGTAAAATTACTTTGAGTTTATCAAACGAAGTATATTTGTTTACTATTAAACTAAAATAAAATAAAAAATATATTTAATAATACAAAAAAACGTATCATAAGTTTCTCAGTAATAAATTAAAAATCTATTCCATTACATTTGAGATACGTAGTGCAACACACCCATCCGTTTAATAAAACAAAGTGGCTATTGATATTTATATCTAATTCTATCCAGTTAAGGAGTAGTTGGTTAGCTATTCCCACTACACGAACCGGTCTCAAGGACCGGGTTGTTGAATTGATACAAATAAAGTTTTCTAAGTTATATTTTACAGGTCCTAGAAACTTATGACCTACGCTCATAAACTAACACAATAGAAACGATACTATAGCTACGTATTAAAAGGTTTATTTAAATGACTCAATATTAATATAATTACACAGTACACTATCACCTAAGTAACCCTGTTCTTGAGGGTAGTATTTGAAGATCACAGGTGTAGCGGAGTACGAGTTGAAGCGATTGAATAAATTACGATTTATCTATAAGGTAGGTTATTTTACCTATAGTAAATCAAATTAAAAATATCACTTAAAAATACAGAGATGACTATTGTTTCTATCTCACGAACTAAACTCGACTGACTAGCTATTTCAATGATTTGCATATACTCGTATTCTACATTCCTGTGTTCTTCTGACTTAAACAAAAATCGGAGAATGCAGCATAAATGACGCGTCAGTAACATGTATATCGATACAGTAGCTTACAATTAAATTAATATGATTAAATTTTATACAAACGATATTTGATATATAGTAAATGTATATCTATATACCTATAGCTTTATGTATTGTACATTAGTATCTATTATCTACATATACATTCTTAAAACACAGAGTGTCTATACGTTATAAATATTTGTTGTATTCAGAGGATAAAATGATAATATTAACTAGGTCGAAAGGCTAAAAGATTTCTTATACGAGACCTCTGTGAAATCAATGTGTATACCACTATTGGTACATAAATGGTAAATCAACCGTGGCTTTTTCAATTGGACGACCGGCGCGATTGAGTGAAGAGCTGGTATAAATTTATTATTTGTAGAAAAATTAACATCGTAATACTTTTAAAAAATAAAAAAATAAAAACGAACTTTGCGCGTGGCAAAAAATGTTAATACTCATTGATGTACCGTTCACTTCCGAGTAGAAACATTGTTATTCGAAGTTTAAATAAGTTATTATGATACAGAAAACATATGAATTCTGGTGGAAATTAAATGAAAATTAGATATTCCGTTAACGTAGTTTCTTCTATGCTTAAACGGCGCTTCTCGTTACATCGTCGCCTTGTAACATGAGGTGAATTTAATGACACTATGTATGTGTATACATTCCTCTACTACAAAACCGTTTTTCAAAATGGGATTTTGTAATCTGTTGTAGGTATACGCATTAACCTACTGCTAAAATGCTGCGATTCTATCTTAATCGCAATAATAATAATGATAATAATTAATAACAATAAATAATAAGATGACTCGCAGAAAACATGGTGCTTATGAGCTTAGAATTTTTTTCCACCCTGATAGATGTGGTGCATTTGAATTGTATGCCAAAAAAATAAACATAAACTGAATCGTTCAAATTGTACACTATGTAATATTTTATTAAAACAAAATTTCATAAGATTTTGTTCTACAAATGTATTCATTTTTTTAGTATTTAATTCAGACGTAGCCAATAGATATAACGCCGTTGTCTTTATGCGAAATTCTGAATTTCCTGTATACACCTAGAACTAAGGTGTCTTTATGTTGTACTGCACCATTCGCGGTTTAATTCAATGTGTTAGAATCTCAATTTTTTAATTGACTAAACAGTAAACGTTTTAGATATCTTTATAATATGCCATATCACTTATTAGGTTTTATAGTTAAGTTGAAAAATATCCAATTTTTCGTCACATATAGTTTTTTTTTATTATTATTATTATTTAAAGTAGAATATTTACAATCTGTATCTAGTAAGCAAATAGGATTTATTTAAAAAAAAATATTTACATGTTAATATAGTGTGAGGAGGGAGGCTGTCCAGTGATAGAACCCTCATGCATCGAGGGTGTCAGAGGTTTAGTAAATCTCTACACTAACGCCTTTTTAACCAACGAGTGAGATCATAAGTGGTCAAATAGTTATCAATATTATGCTGCTGACAAAAAAAATATTTAAAACTTAAAAACTATAAAAGGACATACTGGCTAACCTTTGATTTGTTCTAAATATATTTACTAACATAATTTAATTAGATAAACAACACAACAAATTATGGACAACACGATAGAGTGTAAAGGTACGTTTATAAACTAAAATATAATTTCTCATAACTTAATTTTACATAACATATACCTACATATTATTATGTTAAACGATACCTATGCAGTTAAACACGCGTTGCCCCTGGTAACGTCCGGACCACTTTTAAACGCTACAAAACTCACTGCATCTATAGATATACGATACCTAAAATATTTAGCTCATCGACCGAACACGCACACACGCGCATACACACACACACATACACACACACACATACACACACACACTTACATACATACACACACACCCTTTAGGCGAAACCTGCAGTATACAATCCAGTACTTATATTAGTTTTTCTTTAATTAATTTCAAAGTATTTAATTTTCAGATTCTTTTTTTTGCACAATTTTCAAAACTTTAACACAAAAAGACTTAAAAACAATATTTATGTAAAATGTTTCACCAAATACTTATATTAGTATTTTATAAAAATGATATGATTTTCAAAATATTTCAATATTGTACATAAGTGTTATAAAATGTTTATTATTCAGCATAAAAACTTGAAATTTAATATAAAATTCCAGATAAAATGTTCTTATTTGATTACATTTTTAGAAAATACAGTTTATATAAGTAATAAGTATTACAGTTTAAGTTATTAATAAATTCATTGAAACCATAAAAATATGTAAATTGTTGTGTAGTTAAAAATAAATACAATTTTTCATACAGTGGTGAGTAATATTGTATTCTGAGGAATTTTTCAACTAAGGGTTGGAGATTTTATTTCAGGGATTTTTATTGCATAATTCAAATTTAACACGTCTATATAGCAGTCTTATACAGACTTATTTAATGACGAGGTATAGGTATTAGGTACACGATACCTACCATACAGCAAATCACTACTCAGTTTTATTTTTTCCTTAAATAACTATAACTACAGCGGGTCTGTTGTGCATTCTATTTCCAACTAGCGGAATAATTACTATTTTTTATTATTTTATAACAAACATAATATACCATGTACCAGTGTTTGTGTTTGTGGATAATATTAACTATATTGTATTTTAGTCAAAAATCGAATACTTTTCCAAATTACGTCAATGACTTGTTTTAAATATCTACTATTGATATTGTCGATATTGACTAACAATTATGTAGAACAATATTGTATACTCGTCCCAAAGGAAAAAAAAATTTTAGAAAGTTGTAAGCTAGGTTTGAATAAAAATATTATTCTAAAAATCTTAGATCTTCTTATAATTAATCAATAATTATCTATTCTCATATTTTTGAGGACATTTTTAATCGCAAATTTTTCACGGCTGTGTTTTAATTTTTAAACATGAAATATATATAATTTTTTTGGCTAATAAACAAACAACAAGTGGTATTTAATGTAATTTCTAATGACTATTCATATGATCATGTATTATAATTTATAAACATCTATTTAAAAAATTTAGTGTAGTATAAAGAGTTCCGTCAATATATATAGACGTATAAAGCGTTTTTAAATTTGTATCACAGCAAAAATGTGTTTAATTTATAAATTTTTATTGAATACATTTATGAAAATGCAATATTACTCTCAGGATGAGATAAATTGGGTAAGTGATGTATTTAGAATTGTTCACATTATAAAATTGAATTCTTGAAAAATTAAAAATTTATAATAACCAATTTTCCAACAAGAAACAATGTTTAATTTAAGTTATGACAAATTATTGATCCAGATTATTCATGTCATATAATATTGTTCATAAATTTGTTTCTGGTCTTTATGAATTATACAGAGTAATATAAAAATACTTGTAACCCATTTCCATGCTTAATAATAAATTCTAAATAAGGGAAATATAGAGGCATCTCTTATTGGCCATAGTGTTTACTTATGACAAAGTTAATTTAAATATACGAACGTTTAGAAAATAATTAAAAATACAATGAATACAATACATATTGGTAAAAAGAACACTTCAATTATAAGCTTTGTATAATGAAAGATATGCAAGTGTTTATTTACGAGTACTATTATATAATATTATATTATGCTACTTCACTACATATTGAACAATATAAATAAATACAAATAAACATTACCTATATTTTTCTGAGAAGGAGGGTCAAATTGAATATAATTGAAATACTAATTAAATAATTAAAATGTTAATCATTTTTAATATAGTAAACATCAAACATGAAAGGAAGAAGGGCAGGTAGTAAATACTTAAATCTTTTGACGTATACACTTATGTTGTAAAACATATTATCTTGAGCATTCTTATGAAACAATTGTTTCATAAATCGAAAAGTAGATACCAATTGTTACCCTTAAATCCTAACAATGTTATTAAAGTGCGTACACATGTTTGTAAATATATATTAAATACATAATCTGTACTCTGTAGAATACTTAAATCAATATCTAATTATGCTTTCACGTGTAATAATTAATATGAGTTTTATTAAACAACTTCTGAATATTAAAATAATTGCATTATTTATGTTAATATACATAAATATATCATAATATTATAATCAATTTAGTTACATTTGTTTTATATATTTATACATTTTTTAAAATTTAATCCATGGTGATAGCAATATATGTGATATACAAATTATATTACAATAGTATTACCTATAGTTTACACGTATTCATTTATATTAAATATAGTGTGGAATATTATTAACAATATGCGTATATCGCGGTAGATGCAGTTCATACGCACTGCAGTATTATGTTATATATTTGTTTTATCATAAATCATTGTGTTAAATTTGCAGACAGCAATAAAAATTATGGTTTATTAATTTTCGAAAACGTTTGTTTAGTATATCATAAAATATAATATTATATAATATTCAGTGACAAACTGGCGTATGATGAAGTAAAAGTTTAGTGGAGGGTAACAGTATGAATAATATAATAACAATTTCTAATTTTAAAATTTTAGTTTAAAAAATATATTAACTAATAACATAACACTTGTATGGATGTGCAATGTACATGATACAGTACCTATAGGTGTTCATAAATAATATTATGTATTTAGGAATTTATTTTGCAGATAATATTAAGCGCTTAGTAAATAGTTACTAAAATGTTATTATAAGACCTGTAAAACTACAAAAGTTTAAATGTATCAATTTTTATGAAATAGTAAAATCCGTCAATATATTTCTTTTAACCATAAAAAATAAAATAAATGAGAAACCTATTTAAAAAAAAAAAAAAAATATAATAATAATTAAGTGCATAGTTTTGAATTGAATTTTAAAAATTATCTATTGATGTAAAGATGCTCTGAAATTAGTGTCTACATAGTTACAAAAATAAAATTGCGACTTTCTTCTTTAGGGACATTGATTTTCATAACTCAAAAATATAAAACTACTATTTTCAGTCACTTACTAGTTGTAGTTATGAAATGGCTTTACGACCTCTATTAAACATCTGTATAATATGTATAGATAAGCGTATTTTAATAACTCTACAGTCCCCCTTCGTCCAATAATCATTAGACGATCAGTTTTCTCAAACTTTTCGCCAACAATTGCGGATTTGATATCACAATATTGTACGGTTATGCGTGTGCAATCGTATACAAAGGCCAACAATTATCAGATTATTATTAAATTATTAAGTTTTCGGCGGCAGTGTTTGCGTTTTCTCACCGATGACGGCTAGCGGGACGATGTACACTCGGCGGTTGCGACGAGACAGCAGGTTCAGCGTCGGCGGGTCGGTGCAAAATTCCAAAGCGCATCCACTCGGCCAGCAAATCGGCCGTGCGCGCGCTTTTCAACGGTACACCGCCGCCGCCGACGGCAGCAGTTCTTTGCTGACACGTCTCCGGCGCTGTCTGCAAGCTACATCTCATCGCTGCATCGTCGTCGCCGCCGCCGCCGTTTCCAGCAGCTTTGCTTTATTACTATCGATTCATTGTACTGTTGTTATCATTATTGTTCATAATTCGCCTATCCGTCTTTTCATCGGGCCAGAGCTGTTGCGAGGCAAAGAGCTGATCTTCGGTCGCGTTGACAACGAGATCACTGACTTTTGTCTGCCATTATTTCCATTTTATAACAACTTATTACACTTAAGCTATACATTGCACATTCATATCGAATTATTTGCGCCTGTACAACATCCCGTTGACGACGCGGACGTCGCAGCGGTGGCAATCACCACGACGAGCCGACGACATGAGATGCAGTTGGCCGCCAGACGGATCCGATGGATGTGTTTGTTGTGCGCGTGCGCACTGGCCGATCAACGCGTCAACACCGCGAGCAACGACACTGCACAAACAGGTAGCACTTCCATCAGTCCTATCCCGTCCCGTCTGTCTCGTTCGTCCCTGCAAAGATCGTCCGTCAGACCTTTCCACGAGCTCACGTGAACGTACCACCACCAATCACTCCAATTACCATCGCGAAAGCGCTCGACCTACTCAATCCTCTCCCTCACAGCTTTCTAGTCCCCGGGTCTGCGGGTCAATGACGCACGCTTTATGTGTATATTATAATATATTATAGTATGTAAGCTCTGATCGGTCCACCTTATCTTCCACAGTTCTACCTGTGCGAGTTTATGTTGTCATATGGGGTGTTTTATCGTTTAGGATACGCACTAGTTTTATAAATAGGACGTTACGCTAGTGAAAAAAATGATCTTTCAGTTATAATACACTATAGATATACATTGTATTTCCCTTTTATTAATATAAAAACATATCTAGTTTTTATTAATCTAAAAGACATTTATTTTTTTAATATAATGAAATTTTAAGTTTATTAACTTAAACAAATGACGACCAAATTTTTAATTTTATGACCAGAAGCATATAATACAGCTTATAGTTTAGTTTTTGATTAACAGTAAGCTCTAAAGTTAATCTAATTATATTAACATAAAAGAGGGCAATCCTAAAAAATTGCATCAATCCAAAAATAGTACTCTGTTTTTCAAAATTTTAGATGAGTATATTATAAAATTAATTTAAAACTTAAAAAAAAAAATAGTAAAAAATATTTTAATTTGTAATAAAAAAACGGATTAGCTTCATTTTTAAAATTAATCAGGCAAAGACTAATTAATAACTCTTTATTATATTAATAAGTTTTTGTTAAAGTAGTTATGTGTTTTTTTATTTTTTATTTTTGCATCACAAATTCGGCGTTTTTACTATTATTGAATAGGTTTTTTAGGTATATATACTACCTATATAATCATTATCTATCATATTTCTTATTTATTTTAAGACGATCTGACCACTGTTAAATAATACTCAGCAAACATCAACTATTTTTATTTATAGCTCATTACCTTTTTTTTCATAATATACGTAATAAAGTTACAGTCAACGACAAACTGTATCCGGATATTTACTTTAGTAAAATCAATAGTTACCGATAACCGCATTTATTTAATTTATATCATCTAGCAGTTCTGGTCGTATATTTACGACAGTTGATCGTGACAATAAATTATTATATACGATGGTAGATACACAGTAAATTAATAAAACTAAACATTTACCTAGTTTTTTATGGACACATAGATAAAGGATTAAGTTTTAAACATATTTTTCTTTTTTTATTTAATTTTTTTAAGTTACATTATAATTTATAGAATATAGTGATTACAATAAATAATATTATAATTTCCAATAGGTGTAGACGTATTATATATCAGCTAGGAAATTGGAAAATCGTAATTGTTTAAAGTTCTTGTCCTCTAGAAATGTAAAAGTTTAACCTTGAGCAAATATAATAATAAAAATGGCCAATACTATTGTATGCATTTTCACAAATATATATTTTTAAGACTTGTATGAATTTCCATTTATTATTTATTTAGTGATGTTATATTTAATTAAAACTTGTGTTTAAAACAATTATTAAATAAAGTAAATGGAAAAGTCAATATTTTTATTTTTTGTATCGTTTTATTTGTGTTGATAAATAAATGATATAATAAAATAAGTATATATTTTTTAATTATCACTTGATTTCTAACTTGATATACAGATAGATAAATTAAAAATTTTTGGTTAGAAAATATTGTACAGCATGGGAGTCAGAGAATTTGGTTTTTATAATTATTAGAGTTAAAACCAAGTATGAATTTATCTTTTTTGAAATTTTTTAATATAATTTTTATTTGGTATAATTAATATACACGGTTGATTGAATATTACATTACGTTACCCTGTAATGGGTGCAGCTCAAAATAATTTATTACACGATGATATTGGTTAATGGGTCTGCTGTTGAATTTTTGTAAATAGCCTAATTTGGATCAAAATCATGGTCTTGCACTATTCTTTTATCAATACTGGATACAATTTGTCAAAAAAAAAAAAAAAAATGCACGAACATGGACATGAACAAATGACATTTTTCTTGGTTGAGCATACCACTCTCATAATGACCAAATTACTTTTGAAGGGTAGTCATGTATGTATTCAATACATTGTATTGTCAGTGGTCACCATATAAACCCATTGCAAATTAATTAACTGTATGCACCTTCCAACATAAATGTTAAATTGGTAGGTATATACACGATCAGATAATTCACTTTAATTATTTTTTAATATTGTTTTATTTTATTTCTTTTTAATAAATATAATATAACTATATTTTTTTCGATATAAGTTATATGCTTTTCAGACTCGATAAAATGCACGGAAAAAACGTATTAGTTGTATAATTCAAGTACTTATTTTATAAAAATAATAAATTACAATCTTTTATTTTAAGATAATTTTTCGTTTAATTTTTTTTTTTGAATTTAATATGAAATAATATTAAAATTAATGTTGTATTTTATTTCGTTAAATAGTTGATAAATTAAATAAATTTTTATTTTTTTACTACCGTTATTGTTTTGTTTTTTTTAAGTAAAAGTAAGATTTAAAATTTTTTAGTTTTTCATTCATAGATTGAAAATATTAACTAAACACAAGACAGTTCTATGAAAAAATTATTTTTTAAGTTTTTATTTGTAGTTTTAAATACGAAAAATATTATCGACAAATTGTAAAACATTTTTTACATCATATTAATATTTTGTAAATTGTTTAATTTAACTGAGTTTTTTTCAAATATCTTGGAATCATTTCCAATGAGATGGCTCTTGCCTAAATCTAAAATTGTAATCTAAGTTGAATGGTTTCTGACACTTAAGACGTCTGGCGTCATTGGAGTTATCTAATAACTGAATAGCCAATAAATTGACATGATGATCTGCCTATTCTCGTGTTTGTGAGCTAATCTTTGGATTTCATCTGCTATTGTAGGGAGCATCATATCACGGTGAATCACATTGTTTCTTTCAATCTGGTAGGCTGTGGGATGGTCCAAAGTGCAATTTTTTGACAGCGGTTTAGATTTGCTGCTTAATTACATTAGTAACACGATCTATTTAATTGATTGTCGAATATTTGTTGCGAAATCCAAATTGATGTTTTGGTATAAGAGTCTTAACCATGTTAAATATTATTTTTTTATGTAAATATTGAATTATTCCATTATTAAATAATAAGTTAAATTAATATTATTGGTTGATATAAAAATTCAATGAATATTAATTTGTTTTTATTGTCATCAAAAATTAAACAACATACTTTTCTGACTTCATTACATTTTCATAATTTATTTAAAAAATGGGGTAGTTCGTAGGTGCATAAATCAAATTAATTTGATGTATCAAGTTAACGTTATTATATTTTTATGACGTTTTAAGTACATTATTTTTAATCCCTATTGAAAAAGTCATTAAAAATATTCTTTGACATCGTAAAAAACTTTTTATAATCAAACTTAATTAATTTATAGTCAAAACAATTTATGAACTTATTGTAAAATATAAATTTTTCATTTTAAATGTTATAAAATTATTACTTCTATGAATTTATTGTTATTTAATATTTAAAAAATGTATTTTATTAACTTTTGCAACTTTAATAATTTTTGACCACCTGTTGTATTTTAGTTCATATCATAACATTTTTTTTTAATGTAAGTTGATATATTATTATTTCAATTTAAACACTGTACACAGTTTTATAGAATGGATTATTTCATTCCTACAAACGCAAAAAAAATAACGTAGGTGGATGATAGGTTGTATTATATTTAATTTTGCTTAATACAAGAACAACAATATAATGTTATCTTGTTTTTCATTATCCAGTTAAAAAGTATTATACTAAATAGTAAATTGACTGTGAGTGTTTTTGTTGTAATAATAATAATAAAAAAAAAAAATTTAGCCTTGGAATTGATATATATATATATCTTACAATACAATTTTTTTATAGTTAATTTATAATTTTAAATATTCAATATATAGCTACAGATTTTTTTTTTGAAAATTATATCTATGTCTATTAGATTAATTAAAAAGTTGCAACCATCCATTAAGCCACATGATATATATTTTTGAAAATAAACGAAAAAATTTTGATTTATAGATCAATTGGAGAATAATTATTTTTTTTAAACATAAATATTATACAATTATACAAATACGTAGTAATTAAGTTTTAATATACTGTCAAAATAAATAAATAATTATATGATATCATATTTTTAATATTATACAATCAAATTCAAAACTAAATTATAATAAAATATATTATAGATCAATAACTTAAAGTTTAAAAAATAAAGAAAATCTTATATAATCATGAAAATGGTTTACAAAAATAAAATATATATATATTAAAAAAATGTGATACTTTGTAGTTACATCTTTTTACTGAAAAAATTGAGAATAGCTCTAGAAATAAGTATACATTTCTTCGAATAATAAGTATGTACAAAATATTTTTGAGCTGTTACGCTTTTGACTTTAAAATATTGTATAATTTATTATTATAAATAATATAAATTTTCCCATTTTTCTCTCTACTAGAATACATATTTTTTTATGCGTGTTTGCCAAGTATCAGTAGTATCACACATTAGTTGTAAATCATTATAGTGTATATGCGGTTCTTTCTAATATTTGGCAACTTATTATTGGTTATAATTTATATATATTATATTAGTATCATCTACGACTCTACGGGATAGTATTTTTCACTTTATTAAAAAAAAATTTTGACTTCTAGCTGAGAATCAAAAGTTAAATTGTTAATTCTAAATAATCACTTTATTGTATATATTTGTATCAATTTAGTATATAATACTTTAATACACAACGGTAAGTATTAATTATTGTAATTCAAATTTTCTTATTCAAAATCGCGTGTATCATTTATAAACATTTCACATTAGTATCATTCAAGAACAGCTGATAT